TAGAATGTGTCATTTTTTGCAGACTTGGCATGTTTTGTCAGTACCTTGCTGCTCTTTCTCCTTACTAGTTTGTGTTGCTTGTGGATAGGTCGTATGAATATGACTTGTATCTATGTGGTTTTTTTTAAAAAGAAACCATTCTCCCCCCAATCCCCTACCCACTTTTAGATTGTAAGAGAACTTCTAGTTACAACTAAAAGCTTAACAGAAATCCCCAATAAGACTTATAAGTCCATAGTCAAATAATTGCATCTCAAAATAAAGTAGCTGAAAATAGAATAGCAGCTTATTGAATGCGGCATGACTTCCTGGCTCTTCTACTATCAGCCTTGACAGGATTTTAGGTCATAAGGAAGAGAGAGATTTGTATATAAACAAAACTATATTAATTCCTCTTTCAATATTCCATGCAGTATGGTCTCTTATCCTTATTAAGAATTTAACAAACTAAAAAGAGGTTATGGTTTGCTAATTGCATGTTTATGGTAAAACCATAGAAGTTGTAGATGCTAAAGATCTGTTGTCATTCCAACCCCCAGCCAATGTATGTGTGCTCCTTATCATGTAAAGTCCTAAGTAACAGGGCATCCTGCTGATTACTTAGGAGAAAATGTTCCATAGACCAATCACACTGTTGGGAAGCTTTTTTCCTGATGATCATCCTAACATTTTTTTTTCTTTCTTTCTATTACTACTGGTTATATACATCCTTATCAGTGCTGAAATAATGCTACTTCTCAGCGAGGAAAGAGGCTTTCCAGGTTAACAGAATAAAAATAAACTTATACTTCAGGACCATAGATCTTTACATGGAAACCTAAAGCATCACTTCTAGAGCCACCATCAAACTATGTTATAATTTGCTGTGTATTCCCTGATGGACTTACTTCCATATTTTGTGTCTGTATGAGAGCAAATTAGTACCTGCCCTGTAGCAGCTTTCTTTTTAAATGATTAATGATTTTATTTATATTGTCTGACAAACTATTTTTATTTGACCTAAAAGTTTACCTTTGAAATATAATGTTTTCTCCTCCTTTCTTGTAGCCTTCTTCGAAGCACAGATCAAGAAGTGCCAAAGAAAGTCAAAGGAGGACTAAAAAGTCTCATTCCAAAATTGAAATGCAATAAAAATGTAAAAGGAATAGAGGCTCTACTACAGGCATTGACTTCCTAATTTTAAATGAAGTTCAGAAAGACTTGTTTCCTATCATTGTAACCAAATACAATTCAGTGGAGGTTTAGCACAGTATTTGATTATTTTTGTACTATCCTTTGTAAAAAGTGTATTTGTAAATTAAACTGTTTCTAAAATGATTTGGCTGTTTTGCACATAAATCTAGTTTCAGTACCCGAATGACACTGAATCCATCATCAGAGGATTTTAAGCTCTGGCAGACTAACAGCTTACCAAGATATCTGAACGTCTAGTTCAACATTTAAATCTGTGCTTGTTTTTCCCCTGAGTATCTTGCATGAAATCTAATAATACTGCTAATAATTATATATAACTTTTTAAAAAGTGATCAACTAGTTTATCTAGAAACTGAAACAAACCCTCAGTTGATATTCTTCTTCACTGAAAAAATCCATCTGTTCTTAACGATTTCCTTCTGGTTGGCCTTGTGTGTTTATTTTTTTTAAATCCTGCCTTAAGATGGATGTGACATGGACAGTTTGAGAGCTCCTGATAGTAGCACTTAAAAGTTGCTCTGGCTTTTCAAATAGACCTGAAAGGAGTCAGTAGTTGTTTGCAATGGGTTATGCAAATTTCTTACCAGCTTTTTTTTTCTCTACTCCATTAAGTACAGGCTTTTTTTGCTTAACATTTGTTGTCTGAAAACGGAATTTTCTGTTTTTGTTTCCTACTTTTAGTTGAAACAAAAATGGATTTACTTATAATTCCTGCTTGCTGATAAATTTTAATGAGCCTTTGGAAAATAGAAAGGTATAGTACAACCACAACTTGAATATAATCTCTTGACATGGCAGAATGTTGATATATGACATAAAACACAGGTTAATCACCTCTGGTGCAGAGTTAATTAATTTCCTTATAGGATATATTCTTGGCTGGTATTTGAGCACTTGTTCTCATGAATAGTCCAGTGAAATCATTGAGAATAAGGCATAGAGGATCCAAGCTGTAGTGTTTGAGTTTATCCCTGCTCCTGCTAAATTTGTTATGAGTAGTGCAAGTTCAGATATTATCATTTGAAGGATGAAACCTTGAAATTGCTTAACATTTTCATCAATGTTGAAGGGATGTATATTACAAATTTTTAACATCCACAATTGCTAATATTTAGCCTTTTTTGGTAAAACATAACTTCCTTTGATTTAAGATCATACAAAATATAACTGTAAATTGTATAGCTATAACTGAATTGAAATGACAAACTAGTAAGCCTTTTAGAGAGTGATTATTTCTCAAGTAAGAGTGATTTAAAGCTTATTAAAACAGAAAACTTCTTTTAGCACCACAACTCTGAAGTTCTGGGTAGTGCTTTTGAACATGAATTGAGGGATGTATAACTCTACATATTTGTAACATTCTTTTTCAGACTGAAGCTTTTCTTCTTTATGAACACAAGCAGTACTCAGCTGAAATGTGCAGGTCCTAGTGAGTAGAGGGGTTGTCTAAAACTACCCAGTGGTAGCAGATATCCACAAACTTAGATGTTATTACTCAGTATAGATTGGATTTCAAATAAGATTGTTTGTCTGTAGATAGTGATAGAATGTCATCTTGTCACAGTATTTAGGGGTGTGTGTATGTGTGTATTTGAGTTATGTTTCTTAATGGAGGAAAACAAGAATTTACTAATCATGTCTGAAATCCGTGGCTTGAACTTTCAGCTTTGAGTGTTTTAAAATAAGTGGCCTTGTTCTCAAGAGTACTGAGCACTGTCGGCTTCCCTAAAATCCCACAGGAGCTGCAGGGCTCATCTATGAAAATCAAGCTACCTATTTAGGTATCTAAATGTGGGTTCTGGTATATAGCCTATACATAGAAATTGTAGTAATTCTGGCCTCGCGTGCAAAAATTGAAGGGAATAAAAACCATTCGGTGTGTTGCTGTATCATGCCCAGGCTTTATTATTTGCATTAATTTATAATTTTATGTTTAGTACATATTGTATCATAAAACAAATGAAACATTGTTTAATCTTCAAGAGAACCAAATCTCTTGCTTTCCAGCTATCCTGCTCATACATTAACATACAGTATTATATAACAAGCTCTGTTGTGATGTGACTGTAAAAAAAGAAGTCCTAGCCAATAAATAGATTATGCTAATTAAATCCAGAAGTGCACACTTGCATGTCACAATTAAAGCAAATAGATTCCACCATAATCTCAGTTCATATGTACTGACTATGCTGTGCTGACACTGCTTCTTTCTGATCCCCCTTAATCTTATAAATGGTAGCAAACACTTAAAGGTTAATCCCAATTAGACTTAGTTGGCAGTTGACATAAAATGTTAGTACTTGTAGACAGATATCCTCTCCAGGATCAGTTATTGAAGGACTATTGCAACTCATCAGTTTCTCTAACTGGATTTTCTCTTGTGACAGTGAAACAGATAATTTTAATTAGCATCAGATAATGAATTTAAACTACAATGAAGTGTTTCCAAAGTCCTAGTAACTGCTCTAAATAACAAACTTGACAGAAACAGGCAGCAGCATTGTGACTGAGTAATGATAGCAATGATGGAATAAAAGAAAAGGCTCCTTCAGTCAGACTGATCATTAGCTACTTTCCTCAACAATTGAAGAAGAAAGCCTCCTATATAAAAATTTCCTTGTCCAAACAATTTACAGGTACTAGAGAAAATAAGATAGCACTAAATATAACCGTTGATAGACTGAATTGTAGGGGTGGAGAACCTCAGCCCCAGGGTCTGAATGTGGCCCCAGGCCTGCCTGGATCTGGCCTGTGAGGCTTAGTT